CCCCCCAGTCCCTGATGGATGCGCAGAACTCGCGAATCGAGGAGCTCTTGCAGAAGATCAAGCAGCAGCAGTACAAGCTGGACAAGCAGAATTTACAGATTAAAAGCCTGCAGAGCAAGGTGAGCTCCTGCCCTGCTCTGCAACGGGGGGACCGCAGCCTGGTCCTGCATGCTGTGGGGACCTCGGCGTGAACCGCCCTGGCAGCCCAGCCGGCACAGCGCTCTGGTGACAGGAGAACCGGAGGTGCCGCTGCTCCTTGGCTTTGGGGACCTGAGGAAGGCCGTGGCCCTGGTCCTTGTGCCGCAGCGCTGGTGTGAGGGTAGCAAACTGCGAGCTCCCCGAGTGTTTGCACAGAGCAATAGGAGGCATATTTGTGTGTGTGGCAGCAGAGCCTGTCTGTGCTCTTCCTTTGAGTTTCTCTGTGGAATAAACTCATTAGCGCAGGTGTGAAAAACCACAATCGTTTCTGGCTTTGCCAGCCTTGGGTATCTCTTATTACTTGAGCTTTCTGGGCAAGTTCAGCCCCAGCTCTGGCCACAGGGCAGTGGCTGGCGCCTTGGCCGATCAGCTCCCGTGGGTGCCAGTGCTGCAAATGAGCCGAGATAAAACCATTTCTGACTTGTGCTTTGTTTTTAGGTCAATCTGCTGATCCCCTTACACCTGAAGGACAACAAAACGCAATCTCCAAAGTGGAAGATGAACCTGAAGAAGAGCCTCAGCCTCACCAACCAGAGCCAGAACGCGAGTGGGGAGCCCGTGCCGACGCAGAGTGAGTATCTGCCCGTCCTGCCCCGCTCCTCTGTGCCAGAGCAAACCTTCAGTGGTTGCAACTGTCTGCAAACAAAAGGTTCAGTTGTCCTGAGTCAGGATGTGAGATTTGCTCATAAAACCAGAACCTGGGAGTTTGGCCAGAGTGAGGGGATCTGGAGCATGGGCAGCATCCTAGCCTTCTGGATCAGCATTAGTCCAGCAGGACTTCAAGTTTAGGAATTCAAAGATTTAAGAGGAATTTTTCTGCCTGATATTAAGAATGCAGTGAGGAGTGGAGAAATGCCGCTAGCAGGTATTTGTCAAAGAGGATTGGCAGATGGGGGGCGAATGCAGGCAGGAAAGGAAGATCTCTGCTTCTTGGAGTTAACTCTTGTTCACCTGCTCTCGCTTTGCCAGGCAGGGTCTGCTGCCCACTCTGCTTGCTGACAGAGGAGAGGGTCAGTGAGCTCTGGACCGTGAGAGGAGAGCTAGATCCTTGAGCATCTGTCTCCCTTGGCTCATATTTAGGGCTTATACATGAAAGACAAGTCTGAGCTTGCACTACCCTTAGAAGAAGGTGCTGAGCTGCAGCAAATGCCTGGGCAGGGAATGCACTGGGCACTCACAGCCCTGGGAAATGCACACCAGAGCAGGTGAGTGGATGCTGCATCTGGACCTCCTAGCTCTGCCTGGAGCATCCTCTGTGCTGGCAAGGGGGCTGGAGGAGCTCCCATGGAGCGAAGGGTGGTGGCGCAGGTGTCACCAGCTGCGCTGCATCCTGCAGGCTCCCTCCCAGACAGGAACTGGTGTCCCTGCAGGGTTCGCTGCCTGGGAGCAGCTGCTCTCATGTTATGTCAGCTAAATCATGGTGCTGGGTCTGTCTGCGCAGCTGTCTGGGGATCTCCAGTGTGAGCCAAACAGAAACCCAGCAGGGTGAGGATGCGTGGGGAAATCTTGCCCAGGGCTTAATGCAGTGATAGCTATGGGAGAACACAAGGTAATTTGTATGTGGAGCCTGGAGCTGTCACCGGTGTGCCTAGAGCTGGGTGGGCAGAACAAAGAGCAGCAGAATTTATGCGGACAAGGAGAGAAATGGGATGCGGTGTTCCAAACTCCTCCTGGTGCTCGGCTCAGTGGGGCTGGCCAGCCCCCAGCAGGGCTAAGGGAAGTATCCCTCGGTCAGAGCAGCACTATCGAGCCAGAAAACTGTCTCAAGACCTCTTCCCCCCACCCTATTTTTCCCCAGCTCTGCTTTGTGACTTGCCTTCAGTCGTGTGTCATAGAACCCTAGAATCGTTTGGGGTGGAAGGGACCTTTAAAGGTCACCTAGTCCTCCCCCCTGCTCCGTTCTCAGGTAGTGCTGCAAGTGGGGTGCAGGGAGACGGGTTTGGGTCTCTGCTACGTGCTGGTGGCAGATGTAGGCTCTCTGCACTGGCTGCGGGGACAAGCAACCCTTGTCAAGCACGGTGGGTGACAGCAAGGGCCCACAGCCCCTGGGGATGGTGCGAGAGCTCAGCGCCTTCTCGTGCTGCACTGTCCCCAATAGGGAGACCCTGAGCATCCCGCCTCCCTCCTGGCCAGCTGAGCTGTGAGCTCCCCCTACTCTTGCCTAATCCCTGATGTTGATATTGCTGACAGAAAACAAATTGGCTTCCTCTCATTAGCAAGTCGAGTGAATTTTCTGGCAAATCTTAAAGCACACAATATGTGGCGGGCCAGCCCCGTGCCCTCTGCCTGGGGTGGCTTGTGGCTGCTTTCAGAGCAGGCAAGCGCCGGGAAGGCTTGTGCCGGGGAAGGCTGTTCCCGGCCTATTGTCAGGCAGAGCCGTAGCGCAAGCACGGCCCCCGGGAACAGCGATGAACTCCACCAGCAGCCCTTTCAGAAAGACCCTTTTATTTGCATCCAGTGAACATAAGTTTTTTCAAGCCAGAGATGGCACGGAGCCAAGCATGTGAAAGTTGAAGGCTTGAAGCAGCCTGGAGAGTGAAAGGTTTAATCGCTTGCAGAAAGAGGATCACGTCTTTAGGCAGAGCCTGTGCTCTCTGGCAGCCGGCCGAGTAGGGGAAAGGTAGAGCCCTGCTTGCTCTCTCCCCGTGGCGCTGGGACTCCAAAATAATTGGGTTGGGTTGGGGAGGGTGAGGGGGAGGTGATGCTAACAGCTCCAGGCATGCCCTGCCATCCGCAAGAAAGGGTGTTTATCCCAGGTTGGTGACCTCCCATCATGCCTGGAGATCCTGTTGGGTAAATACGGTGCCATGCCTGGGGCAGCTCCCGCCAGCCCTTGTTGATTCTTCTGGCTTGTTTGGCTAAATAAAGGGGGAGGGAAAGAAAAACATCCACAGCAGCCAGGAGGTCTTGTTGTTCTGCTGGTGCCATACGGATGTGCAACATGAACTGGAACTAACGAGGGTGTTCCTCACACAAAAAGATTGAGCTGAGGCTGTTCAAGCAGCTGCATCTCATTCAGCTGTGTGAAAGTCCCCATTGCACCAAGGAAAACAGAAGAGATCCAAGTGCAGTGAGTGTGGCCAGGGCCCAAAAAAACCCCACAGAGAGGGACACAGAGTTGAGTTCTGCACACTGGGGCCACCGAGCATCCACCCAGGCACCGTCCTGCCTATGCTGGAGACGCAGCGGGAGAGGAGACGAGGGGCTGTGCGGGGCCAGGTGAGCCCAGTAGTCCCCAGCACCTCCCTGCTGCCGTGCTGCTCAGCCAGTGTCACTGTCACTGTGGGGTCTGGTCCTGGGTTTCCCGTCCCCTGAGGCTCAGTTGGCTTCCCTGGCTGTGCCCACCTAGAGAGAGGGGATATCGGAGATGCGCTTGGCCTGTTGGCTGGCTTTGTGTGGTTTTGATCCTTCGTGCAAAACACCCACCCTTGGTCCACTTGTGCACAGGCTCGGGGGAAGGCTTGCCCTGGGGGTGCACTGGTGGGCTTAGTGGCACTAGTCCCATGCTGACATGGGCCCCAGAGGGTGCTGATGAGGGCAGCCGTGCTGGCTGCAGGGCCATCCTGCCGCACGTGGTGGGAGAGGGGC